GCTGGCCCCTGCTCTAATCACCTTGCTGATGACGTTCCCTCTGGCCAGGGCTGCCAGACAAAGCATGCGGGGCCTGGAGAGATTTGAATTTCAAAAACACAATGAATAATTTTTTCAGTAGAGTGTATCTCAAATACCTCTTGGAACAACACCCTAAACACGCTCACACACACACACACACACACACACACACACACACACTCACACGCGCCCTTTACGGTTATTCTGCAATGCCCGTTTACCTGGATGGTTTATGTTTGTATGTGCTAACCCTGGCGAGTCCACACGGGAAGAGAAACAGCAGGAGCCTGGGACGGCTCTGCCAGGGCTGAAGGTGCATCTGAGCAGAGTGGGGCTGGCCTGGCCGTGCCTTCTCGCACAGTCCAGGTCCCTGGTCCCCAGTGAGCGATCTGTCACTCCAGGGCTTGCTGCAACTGGAGGAAACCACCTTGCCCAATTCACGCTTCCTTCCCGGCTGGGGGGGCTGGGGGTGCATCCCTGGCCGATGACCCAGATGTCAGGACCCTTCCCTTCCTCCCTGGCTTGGAGCTGGCTTCCCGAAGCCTTGACTGAGACTCTACGAGTAGGGTGATGCAGCCGGCTGTCCTTCCTGCCAGACCCTGCTTCTGTCCCCAAGCTCGTACAGCTATTTGGTCCAAACACACCCTAATAAATGCTCTACAAACTAATTTCTATCTCAAAGTCAGCTGCTGCCACCCAGTTAGAGGTTGAGGGAGGACGAGGATTATATTCACTCATTATCAAAGCGTGGTCTGGGAGGTTTATCCATGTTTGGAGCTTTCTGCCAGGACGCACTGAACATTTTCAGAAAAACCCTCTGGTTCAAAAGTGATTAAAGGACAGGCCATGTAGATCACATCAGTGTTTAAAAGAGCAACCTAGTGCAAATGGCAGCAACTTAAAAAATCTGTCCAGGGAAGACTGGATCCAAAAGATGTGGTCTACCTACGATGCGGAATACTATACAGCCACAAACAAAGATGAAAGGCAGCAATGTACACAAAAACAGAGGGACTTCAAGGGAATTATACACAGTGAAGCAAGTTCTGAGGCTGGGGAACGGGAAGGAAGGGAGAAAGGGGATCTGTGGTGTCAGGACAAAAAAATAAAATCTACTTTGACTAAAGAAAAATAAAGATCTGTGTCCAGAAAAAGCAAACCAGAGATGACCAGGAGACATGTCTGTGTTTCTGAAAACAAAGGGAGCCAAACACATGGAGGACAGGGTGTCCTCTCCATCTGCCCCTGCCCACCCTCCACAAACCTATTCTTCCTCAAATGTCTTTACTTAGGTCCCTAGTCACCCCAGTCTCCTCCTCACCCTGAGCATGGAATCGCTCTGGAGATCTTCAGCTCCCACCTCCTCACCCTCATCCACCTAGCCCTGCTCTGGTCCCTTCCTCCTCCAGGGGCCATCACACCTGGCCCCAGGGTCTCCTTGCCTGTCCCCAGAGGCCTCCCTGATTCTTGGCCTTTCTTCTCTCTCTTACCTTTGCCCAGCGCCACCACCAGGTACGTCGGTCTTCGGTGCAGCTCTTACCTTACGTTGTGAAGATGAGCGGAAAGAACCAGCATGTGGCTCTCCCACCTGCTCCCCCAACCCTCCTGGACACCATGTGACTGAGAATGTTCTAGATAGATGCTACCTTGCTGGCAGAACCACAAATAACTCATGTGAGCAAGAAGTAGCCCCTGGTGGTTGCAAGACCCTAAGATTTTGAGGGCGACTCACCAGAGCACAGTCTGACTTCTGCTGAAGAATTCACTCCGGTCCTGGGGGTCTCAGAACGGACACTTCACGGGTGGCCATGGTGTCATGGTGTCATGTGGTGTTCTGTGGTGTCATGGTGGCAGCCAAACGGCCAGTGAAGGGACTTTAGAATGACCCGGCATGAAACTGGTAGAATCCGGCAAAGCTATTGGCTTTTCACCTCTTGCTTCAGATTCCAGAAAATTGCCTAGAGGATTGCAAACCATGTGCATCTTGCTTCTCTGTTGGCTTGGTGAAGGGACTTGGCCGGATCCAGTGACTGTTTGTTAAAAGCCACGTCACTGGTCACTACTCGTGCTGAGAGAATAACAAGCCAGACGGAAAGAAAGGTTACGAGGCGATGTCTTATCACGCTGAAGTGGGTTACATTCTGTGCTCAGGGAAAAGCCCTGCACAGTAGCTCTGTGGCCTCATAAACAGCCCAGTTCTGGGAATGTTTCTATGGCTGCAGCTTGCAAAGTTCTTTCCTTGAAGCAACTCAGAGCCTGTTGCAAATTAAATTAGAAAGTACACACAGGTCGGCATGAAAGCAGCCCAGGTTTTTGTGCTGTGTTGGTACGATCATAGAATACGCCGTTTTACAGAGTCCATTTCTTTAAACCAGGTGGTAGGAAGCGTGCGAGCACATACATTTACTTCTAGAATACTCCATCCCAACTTCTTCCTGGAGATAGCAGCTTATAAGTTGCCATATTTTCAGAGAATGCAAGAGCGGTGGCCACGGAGCAGCCCTGCTTCCTCTGATTTCCTCAAAATGCACATAGCTACGCGAAGAAGAATGAAGTGAAGCCCAGTGGTCAGGATAAAAAAAAAAAAAAAAAGTAGTTTTTCTTACTTTGAATTTACCATCACCAAGGTGGTCCGAGGCTGCCATGAATGGTTCTAAGCTAGAAGAGAAAGAAGAAAACAATTTTTAGCATCAGGAGAATGTTCGGGATGGGGGTTGCTGCCAGCCTCCATTTCAGTGATGAGAAGGAGGACAGGGAGACGACAGCTACTCAGACTGACTTAGCCAGCAGGTGACACAGGGGACTTCCCAGACATCCCCAGACTGCCAGGCCCTCTGAGGCTGTGGAGGGTGGAATCTGAAGTGATGGCAACAGGAGAAGGCGCTCCCTGAACTCTGGGGAAAGAGCACTGATTCTACAGTGGCCTTGCAGGAGACATCTGGGCCTCTTTGGAGGAATATGGCCGCCATGTCCCCCAGGCAGGACTGGCTGGAAGACCAAGGAGGGAAATTCTATGATACATCCCCAGAAGTTGAAGGGGCAGAGCATAAAGGAGCCTAGTCCAACTTGCTGAATACTTGGCATGAGCCAGGTATCCGTCTGCTCAGCTCATTTTATTACCATCTGTGCTAAGAGGTAGAGACCCAGTGCTCTTGTACACGGCCAGGTACTTTGGTTAAACAGTTCACCCAAGACCTCACTGACTGAAACCAGGTCTAGCTGACCCTCTCACGCACATCTTGGTCAATAAAAGCATATAAAAATAATCCTATAACGCAGTAACATCGCATTGTGGATAGTACATAACACAATATTATAGTGTTATGCGCAAAGTGCTACACAGTATATATGTCATAATATATACTGGTTTTTATAATTACATAAGGATGCCATGGATGTAAAATAATACAGTCGTTTAAGAGGCCATGGCCTCAAGAAGTAATTAACGCTGCATGCCAATGGGCATTCGTGGGGGTATTTATGTGTACTACGTCATAACAACAAAACAATTTTAGCATTTCCCTGATTTTTCTAAGTCTCTAAACATGATGGCCCTTTAAACGTGCCCGAGAACATCGCCGCAGTATTTCAACCAATGACAGTGGCCGCCCCTTTAAAGAATGACTTGGTTACAAACGAGTTTTATCCAAAAAGAGATTTGATTAAGTTATTTTTTGTGTCCAATGTGGGTTTTCAAAAATATTTTCTTGCCTGTGGTTGTATAACGTTAAGAGGTTGCTTTTTAGAATATCAAAATTAGGTAAATTCCACTTTTCTTACACTCTCTTCACAACACGTGTGAAGTGAAAAATTGATGTCCTCTGTTCAGACCCAGCAATTCACTCAGCAAATTCAACGCCTGGATAACGCACTGAGATCTACGCTCTCCGGATCAGATGGTCAGCTTTTGACAAGAACAGATATTGAATTAACTGACTTCCTATTGGCTTTAACTTTCTGAACAAGTTGTGACCTTTGAGGACAGATGCCGAGTCTTGCACCGGGAAATTCTCTGATTTTTTTCAAGTGTGTGTGGGGGAGACAAAACTTTTGTTATTTTTCTGTTCATCAATGACTAAGAGGTAAAAGTCTCAGGTGAAGAACTGGCAGTAACTATCTGCCCCTGTTCACCTCCTCCCTCCCCCCCCACCCCCAGGGTGAGGGGGACATCAAGAGTTTTGTTGGTTAAAACACGGAATGATTCTTTGTATTCACCTCATTATTCTAAAAATCACTTCTGGTAGGTGAACAGGACACTTGAGTGAACCAGAAGATGGCGTTGAAGATTAGCAATCCCTCTTAAAACCCGAAAACCCTCCAAAGTGGTTGTCAAGTCTCAGCGAGTTTCGTACAATGACTGTTGTTTTGAACTTCTAAAAGTGGCCGGTGAGGAAAATGTTGAAACCAGCTAAGCCCGCTGCTGAACACGTGTACGAAAGTGTGAGAAGCTGTAGTTTTGCCATTTTGGTTCTTAGCAACCCCCTTCCCTTCGGTGCTGTCGGTGAGCACTTAGGGGAAAGGAACTCGGCGATTAACAGCATTGCAACTTGAAGGCGGCAACCTCGGTCACAACAAAGCGCTCTTAGAATAGTTCCTGATCAGCAGCAGGTGCTCAACAATACCTGAATGAATGAATCTAAGAAAGGAAGAAAAACGGGTGCTGCAGAATTTTCTCTGAATAAAGCTGCTGTTTGTCACCCGGCCCCTCATCATGGAAAACTTCACTTGGGTGAAATAAAGGCATGGCATCCTGTTAGCTTCTCAGAAAGTCTGTTAGTTTGAGGAAAGTCTGTTAGTTATCGGTGCCTCACTGCCTGTTTTTCGCTCTAACCCAAACTTAACTTTTTCACTGGGGAGACACTGACCCACCAGATAAGATTCAAAGAAAAACTGAGAAACAAGTGAAATCAAAAGCTTTTCAAAACTTGCATGTGGACCTCGGAGGTGGTGATCTGAAATCACACAGAAACTGTGACCGGATGGTTTTACCTGAAATTGCCAGCACACACGGCCTGGGCATCCAAGAGCCCTGGTGAGAGCTCCGAGCGGAGGGCGGACAGCTCGTTCTGCTGTCCAGGCGGGACTGAGCCGCCTGCAGGTGTCCACTCTGGCGAGCAGGCGCCACGTCAAGGTGCCGCCGCGGTCCAAGGTGAGCCGAAATCCAGAAGCAATCGAGCTCTGGCAACCTGGGGACCCGCCCCCCTCTGTCGCGTGGCCGCCTGCAAACTTGGGGGCCAGCACTGAGCCCTGCCTCAGCGCCCAGCGCGCTGCCAGTGAGCCTGTGGACCCCAGTTCATGGTGAGGTTCAGGGGATCTGGGCCATTTCCTCTCTCTCTCTCTCAGCGACTGTATCACCTTCTCCAAAAACCGGCCAGGGGTGGCAGGTGGCATGGGGGTGCCCAGCGCGCCCTCTGGTCTCGGATGGGGCAATTCCTCCCTGTGCAGCTGGCCCGCAAGCCCGGTCCCCCGCGCCGGTTCCCGCTCCTCGCGCCCCCACTTCCCCGCCTGACCGCAGCGCCCC